TCCTAAGTTTTAGGCTTTTAGGCTGAATGTCCGGGACGGGTACTACAGGGCCCGTGTGGCTACGCAGTATGCCACACCCCCCCCTCCTTGAAAGACCGAGCTTACCTGCSAGGGCGAAGCTGTCTGTCTGAGGGAGGGACCACAGTCCGGGTGGGAGGGGCAGGTCGTGGAGGTCCCTTSGCTAACCKTTGWCGYTCRTASTGAGYGTAGATCAGCGGTGCAGATGCTTTCAAATCTGCTCCTGAAATCCACCGAGTGTCATCGCGATCGCATGCTTTGAATGTGACTTTGTACTGCCGCGGCTTGCTGCCGTACTTGCGATCGGTGATGACGCGGTCAACTTCCTCATTACCATCCATAGAAGGAGGGTCCTGCGATCGTCGGCCCGGAAAATCGTCGCTCTTGGCTGGCGTGTATGTTGCCAGCTTCGAGGTGTGGAAGACCGGATGGACCGTCAGATGCTCTGGAATGTTGATCACAAATGAAGGGCCATCGGGCTCATCGCCCGCGGCTGCTGTCACAGACCAAGGTCCAAACCACTTGGGAAGCAGTTTGCGTGAAACATCCTGTTCCAGTGCAAACTCTTCCGCGGAGACCCAAACCAGATCACCGGCACGGATGGGACATGGTACGCGACGCCTGTTGGCTTGCTGCTGCATGCGAACTTGAGCCTTTTGCATATTTGTGCGGGCTTGAGTCAGCAAGTCCCTGTACTTCCGAACGGAAGCGGGGGAGCCAGCGGCGTCAATGTCGGCTGGTCGAGGGAGGAGAAGGTCGGCGAAGATGCGGCCTTTCCGTCCACCGTGGTGCAACTCGAATGGAGTCACGCCGATCGCCGGGTGCACCCAACTGTTGTAGGCGAACTCGATGTCGGGGAGGCAGTCAACCCAATCATTCTGGTCCGGCCGAATGAGCGTACGAAGCATCATTTGGGCGGTTTGATGTGCCCGCTCCGTCTGCCCGTCCGTCTGAGGATGTCGAGCCGAACTTGGTTTCATTGTTGTGCCGGACTCCTGCATGAGAGCAATCCAAAACGCCGACATGAAACGAGTGTCGGGGTCGTTGACAATGTCTTCTGGTACGCCGTGGCCACAAAGCCAACCAGTGTGCAGGAGGCGTGCCAGCTCGGGAGCCGTGGAGTAGTACTTGCAAGGGAGAAAACGCGCGTACTTACTCAATCGGTCCACAACCGTGAGGATGCCGTCGTGCCCGAGCCGGTCACGAGGAAACGAACCGGTGACGTCCATGGCAATGGAGAGACCGGGTTCCCGTGGGATAGGCATCGGGTGTAACTCGCCGTAGGGATTGCGGTTGGGGGGCTTGATGCGCCGGCAAACTTCGCAAGAGTCGCAATACCGAGTGACATCGGTAATGAGGTCGGGCCATCGAAATCGCTGTCGAAGTCGTGCAATAGTGCGGTTGACTCCGAAATGGCCGGCGAGTCGTGAATCATGGTACTCGCCGAGGAGGCGAGTCCGAAGACGACGGTCGCGTGGGACACATAGTAAGTCCTTGCCTCTCGAGTGGAGGAGCAAGTACACGTCGGCAATGCGGTAATGGCTGGCCGGCGGGTGATCCGAAGATAGTTGTGCATAGAGCGTGCCGAAGTCCGGATCAGACTGATATGCCCGGATGAAGTGTCGCTTAAGCTCCTCGTCGAATGCGAAGGCATGATGTGTCATAGCGCAAAGATCGGGTCTTCGCGAGAGTGCATCTGCTGCGCGATTGGAGAGAGGCCGGGGACATGCTTTGGTGTGAAGTCAAATTGGTCGATGAAGTACATCCATCGTCCGATCGTGCTGCTCACCGTATCCTGCGTCTTGTAGTAAGTCAATGGATTGTTGTCCGTGACCCATGTGAACCTACGACGCCCAAGGAGGAAGTGCCGCCATCGCTTGAGAGCCATCACGAATGCGAGCAACTCCTTCTTCCTTGCATCATCAAGCGAGTTGATGGGAGGCACTTTGTGGCTGAAATACTCCA